CAATTGGGAAGGCAGGCACAACCCCGCATTTTCTCTCCACAACACGTGAGGGGAAAGACACTCTCCTTGAGTGAATGACCTCAAACCACCTCGTCTTCTGCTCTCATTCTTCCCATTGACCTGGCTTCATGCACTCTCTGGGTGCAAAAAGAACATCACCTTATAGAAAACTCTGACCCATAACTTATACTTGATCCATACCACCATACCACTGTCACTGCCACTGCCGCCTTGAAGCAAGGGGTGAGGTACTCTACATTGACGTCTTCCGCCGACGACAGACTTGATGTAGCTCCCATCCGATCCGAAATACTGCCAATGTATCGCTTCAATACAATCGTCCGCTGTCACCCTTGGAGGTCACACTGCCTGCCAAGAACCCTCCGGTCGTCGATAGCGTCCCGGCGCGGACTCCTTACTCAGAGCTATGCCCGAGGGCCATCCGAGGTAAGCTGCTGCACCTCGCCCAAAGCGTCCACCCTCAGACTAACATCCAGTTCCTCCAATTTGAAGCCTCCCTTATTTGAGTCGACGGTTGGCGATCATTTCACCCAGATTGTCAAGGTACATGGCGACCGCACAGCGTATGTCTACACTGGATTTATCTTATCTGCAGGCCAGCCACAGCTGATTTCCCGCTAACCGATTTGGACCCAGCGTCATCTCCAAGCATCAAGACGAAAGACTAACATATGCCGCTCTGGACGCCAAAAGCAATGCGTTTGCAAGGGGTCTGGAATCCATCGGGGTGCGCCGAGGTGACCGAGTCGGAGTCATGTTGGGAAACTCCATCGAATACGCCATCGTATGCAAACAGCCTGCAATAAAATACCCAGTCGAAGCGAGGAACCAGCAGCTTACGAGGTTTCTATAGGTAACTTATGCACTGTTCAAATTAGGAGCAATTCTGGTGAGTCTAATGCCATTCTACGGAATGCGTGAAAGTAGTCTTATTCGTTCAGGTACCCATCAATCCATCATTCAACACCGCTCAGCTAGCATCGGCCCTAAGTCACCTCGATACAAGCCATCTGGTAGTCAGTGCGGAGTCAAACTTGCCCCGAAAGCCTCCACGGAGCAATGTCCCACTTCTGGAGACTATCGTGCCGGATCTTACCAGCCCTCGACTAAAGTCAGAAATCATCCCTTCACTGAAGAATGTTATTCTTGTCGACAACTCTTCTGGTCGCTTTCAAGGCACCGACTACCGGGTACTTACGCCATATGCCTCACTTACATCAGACGCTGCCTCTGATGGGAGCTCTCTACCACCGCAGAACCTGTCCCCTGATGACATTATAAACATTCAATTCACATCCGGAACAACTGCAATGCCCAAGGCTGCCTGTCTGACGCACCGCTCAATTCTGAACAATGGCTCCCAGATCGGAGACCGCATGCGCCTCACCCCGGAGGATATTGTCTGCTGCCCCCCACCTCTCTTTCACTGCTTCGGCTCTGTTTTGGGGTACATGGCGACGGGGACCCACGGTTCTTCCATTGTGTTCCCGACTGAGTCCTTTAATGCTAGAGCCGCTCTCAAAGCAGTGCAAGAAGAACGGTGCACAGCCCTTTACGGTGTGCCCACCATGTTTCTCGAAGAGCTCAGTCTACTCGAGAGTGGCGAGGTCTCGCCCGAAGGTTTCCAGTACCTCCGGACTGGCATCGCAGCCGGAAGCAGCATTCCAGCGGAGTTGATGAAAAAGCTTCACAAAATCCTCAACCTCACCGAACTCACCATCTGCTACGGCATGACCGAGACCAGCCCCGTCTCCGCCATGACTACAACCGACGACCCGATTGACAAGCGTATCCACACCGTCGGCACTCTCCTGCCCCACGTGGAAGCCAAAGTGGTTGACTTGACCGACCACCGCAAGATTGTTCCCGTCGATGTCCGCGGAGAACTGGCAGTCAGCGGCTACCTCCTGATGAAAGAATACTGGAACGACCCGAAGAAAACAGCCGAGGTGATGATTCCCGACGAGAACGGGAAAGTCTGGATGCACGTATGTCATTGAGTTCCTGAGTCTGATGATCGATTCCACTAATGATGACTACCCAGACTGGTGACGAGGCAACCATCTGCCCGGATGGCTACATCACAATCACAGGCCGCGTCAAAGACCTTATTATACGCGGTGGCGAGAATATCCATCCCCTCGAGGTAGAAAACTGTCTTCTTGCTTACCCCGGAGTCTTGAATGTTTCGGTCGTTGGAGTTCCCGACGAACGATACGGGGAGGCGGTGGCTGCCTTTATCATACACCGAGACCCCGACGGTGAGGATGCTAGGGAGGAGAAGGTGAAGAGATACGTCAACGAGACGCTGAGCAACCACCTTGGTGCGTACAGTCCAAGGGGCTTTCAGATTCGAGAATTGCTAACAGCTGAAATAGTCCCTAAATATGTGTTCTTCCTGCCTTCCTCGGAGTCGTTTCCGAAAACTGCGAGTGGCAAGGTTCAGAAAGTCATGCTTCGTGAGATTGCAGTGAAGAGCTTGAAGGAGAGGAAGAGCCGTTCTGTATGATGGACTGGCTTATCGGTCTGGACATCTACGCTACATGAGGAGCTATTGGTTAGGGCGGGAACTTACTTCGCTATCTACTCCTGGGGTCTTTAGAGTTGGATTGGAAATTTACATAGATGCAAAACATTTTGCTTCATGAGGGACAAACAGATGAATTATGGGTAGACAATGAGCGCTACGATTCGAATGCGCGCCATGAAACTTACTTATCATGGACGTATTTGATTGAGCGCTGCATGATGAAATAGTTGGTTCTCACAGACCAACAGCAAATAAACTCCGTTGGCATTTTCAAGGGTATAATCGCTAGCTATGCGACGAAGACGCTCCACGTGCATCCAAACAAAAGACATTCTCTTTTCGAGTGTACAGTGAAATAAGCCAGTCCGTGTCCAAGCAAACGAACGGACGGCCATGTCGCAAATATCCAAACAACTCCCAATGCCCAAGAAACCGACCTTGGACTGGTGCATGCATATCGAACAATCGTCGTTCTATCCACAACGACTTGTCCGTTCCAAAGATGATGTCCAAGAAGATGTCCAAAACTCCGCACTGCAAAAGTTCAGACCTTGGAGTCCAGAAGGAGCCCTTCCCCAACTCCCTCACCCAACCCCAACCCCAACCCCCACAAGACATCCCCTTTATCTCGTGCACTTCACCCCAGAACCCACCTTCAACCGAGCATGATCATGCACGGCGCGGCTCCCCTCGGGCACAACCGGCGAACAGCACGAAATCCCCCTCACCCAGGGATCCTTTAGGATGTTCTCCACCGTCAGCCGCCGCTTGGGAACCGTATGCAGCATCCTCAGCACGAGCACCAACGCCGCGTAATCCGGGTATTCCTTGGCCTTGAACCCGCGGCCGCACAGGGGCCATCTCCCGGCGGCGGCGTCGAGGCGGCTAGGGGTAGTACCGGTCTTCGCCCAGAACCGCTGCCACCCCACAAAGCGGGCGTAGTGCTCGTCCCCGGGGTCGATCGCGTGCCGCCACGGGTACCCCAGCCCCAGGATCTGGCGGGCCGTGAGGGCGCAGGCCCAGATGTCGGCGGCGCGGGGGTCGTACGTCGGTGCGGCTGCAGCTACATTGCTTTTTGCCGTTGCCGTTGCCGTTGCTGCTTCTGCTTCTGCTTCTGCAAGAGCAACGGCCATGCAATCGGCCAGCCACATCTCCGGCGCGATGTAGGGCTCCGTCCCGGTCACGGGCGAGGTCGCACTCACGGTGATCGGGAGCGGGGTGCAGTCGGCCCCGGAGGGCTGCTGGAAGCGGGAGCGGAAGCGGAAGGCGAAGCCGAAGTCGGCGAGCTTGACGCAGGGATCCCCCGCCGGAGAGGAGGAGGTTCTCCGGTTTGAGGTCCCCGTGCGCGATGCCTTGGCTGTGCAGGTAGCTTAGCCCTAGGAAGAGTTGCTTGATGAGGCAGAGTTGCGTGGCTTGGGGGAGGAGGAGGAGGTCTCGTTCGTGGGGGTGTTGGAGGTTCTGTTGTTGCTTGGGCTGGAGGAGGAAGAAGAAGAGGAGGAGGAGGAGGAGGTGGTGGAGGTAGTGGCGCTGCCCTCCACGAGCGAGCTTTCCATGCTCGAAATACACACTCTGTTCGAGTGCAGGCGAATTGGGAGAGTGGCCACTGTTTGCATCTTCAGGGCAGCAGCTGCTATCGCTGGTAATCCTGATAGGGCTGGTCGACTATGTGATGATGATGATGATAATGCTGATGATAATGGGACAATGCTCAAAGCCCCGTCTGATATATCGACAGCCTATTGTTCGAGACAATGGATATTTAATCTTCTGCGCTTCGAGGTGCAGAAATCAGATGCCTTGCAGTATATAGAGCCTGCTAGGCGAGAAAATAGGGTGAAGGGCGAGGAGAAGAAGGGTGGAAAGGATGAATAAGGATTATGTCAATGACAAGATTGGATGAATGTCACTGACGGGTAAGAATAGGCGTATGCCAATATGTAAAGGTGTGAATAGTGGTGCTTCAGACAATCAAGATATTGCTGCTGAATGCACAAGACAGCAGAGGTGGGTAAACAGGGAGAAAGGACGAAAAAGATGGAAGAAGAGACGAGGTGGGCATGGATGGGTTCTTCCTCCCTCGCCAGCAGAAGAGTCATATGGGGGATGACTGCATTATTGCTGAATTGCCTCAGCTTTTCTCCTTGACTTGATTGCCGGGATGAGGGTTATTCGGGCTCGCTAACCGTGGGCTCGGGTGAAAATTGTGCTGAGCAGCATCGTTAAGATGTAATTCTGGAAGTGGATTCCATGGGCAGGCGTTGAGAGTTGAAGAATGCATTTGGTTTGCGAGAGGGATACAATTCAGGACAATCATGGCGGTGACAGGTATGGATGTCATGCTTCGGGAAAAAGATGCTTTAGAGACATGTCTCATCAAGTACATGAGAGAGAATAAGGAATGAGTGTGTACAAGCGGCCTCTCCATTCCCATCTTTACATTGTCCATGGTTTGGCATTCACCCAAGTACCTATACATACATTCACTAAGCTGTATCCTAAATCATTCACCAACAGATAGTGGCTCGGCACAAGATCAAGATCCTTATGCGTGGCTTGAATTTTCCCCGTAGGTTTTCCCCGCTGGAAACCTGTGTACCATGTGCTCCAATTACCCACGGTCCGGCATCAGCCTGACCCAGCAGCTGAAAGGGGAAGTGACTCACTACGTCAGTCGACTCCTGCGGAAGAGATATCCAAGCTCTAATGCAACAAGCACGGGGGAGGGGCGTGCTAGGACAATCGACCCCTCCGCCAAAGCCAATTCTTAGCGAGCCGTGGAGGAGATCCCCAGTCCTGATCTGGTCTCGGCCGTCTGCCGGCCGAGGGCCACTCGGCTCCAGCCATGACGTGGTGGTCTGGTATTCAATGACGCATGCTTGGGCTGTTCCTCCATGTCGGTCTTGACAGGCCTCGGAAAAGTCGTTCTGACGAGGATCAAACGCCAGTATGTCAACTTCCGTTGTCTCTGCAGTATGCGAGAACGGAATCCAGTCATAGAACTGCGCCGCAAAGAGCAAGTCATTACTCATCAGTGGCTGAGCCTGAAAGCACGAGAAGAATCGTAGGTCAAAGTACGAGTTAACGCTCGGGACGAGCCGAGACTGCCCCGAACTGCGGCGTATCCGGATCCGCAAAACAACTGATCACGGTAAAGCGACTCAAAAGTCCTGAATGCCAGTCTCACCTTGAAGCCGAGACCTGACATCCCCACTGTCCCCGCCCTCGCCCTCGACAATCCATTCCGGCTCCTCGTCGTCAAAGTACTGTTCCTGCGCCTCGTTCCAATCGTCATATTCATCATTGTGATCGACGGTGGTGTAGTCGAAATCCATATCCTCGCCCCGCAGAAACCGCATGGTCATCTCCCACTGCCACAGCTTCTCGCCTTCCTCCTTGCTGGGCGGGATCTCGTCTCTGTCCTCAGCGAGGATCTCCCCGTTCGGACCCCGGGTGTAGCTGAACATGGCGTGAGGGTCCGGGTGGTTCAACGCCTCGAATTTCGCTTCGGAGCGGCACAGGTCCGCCTGGAGGACACCGGAAAATCCTTTGGCGCGTCCTTCGGCTTCGCGTTCTGCGGGAGTTTGGAAACGGCGGATCAAACGGTCATAGAGCAAGGGGTCTGTGCGGTTGCTGGGGGTGTTAGCTTGACAATTACTATGTGGGTTGTTCGTGACGACTAAGGCAGGCAGTGTGCCAGTCAAGTCATCAAAGTAAAACAGATATGAGCGACAAGCGGACCGGCTAGCTCGAGATCAGCAGAAAAGTACTCTGGGTGCATGTCCAGGTAACGCTTGCGACGGTTCTTGATCTGGGTGGCCGGGGAGGTGGGCATGGCGGAGGAGGCAGGATTTGCCTCCATCTTGGGCGTCGTTGGAATGATACCCATTGGGAAAAGAGGCATTATCAATTAGTTCAGACCGGATTGATGCTAGAACATATGTCTTAGCGACAAGAAGCAAGATTCGAAGAGGTCGAACGACAATAAACGACAATAAAGGTGAAGGGGGAGGGGGGGAAGCGGAGAAGAGAGGGGGAAAAAGCGGAAAAGAGCGGCGGGTGGCAGATTAATTCCTGCCGTCATCGAAGCTCCGCGGAACACACCAAGAACATCATCTTCCTCAGTGCTTGCTCAATCCATTATTTAAGTCCAACAACGGAGTATGGCTACTCGAGTTTCAAACTGAGAAACAAGGTAAGACTAGTCTCCCTCTTTCCGTTTCACATCCAGCTACTTGTGCTGTCATTGCTTGTCTGCGGGAGGGTGGTCCACAGTCTGCCCCTGCTTCCCCCCCAAAGAAAAAAGTGACAGCTCAAAATGGAATCCATTGAATTAACAAGTACCTTCAGGAAAGCTCCCTGGCCACAAGAATCACTCTGGTCAGCTTGAAGTTCACTCGAAACGTGTGGTGCTGGCAGATTCCGTCATTTCAGAAACGGACACCATGTCTTCTCTTGGTGCCCTGTGGCAAAAACCCACCACCAGACAGCTGGTGACCGGCGCAGCACTGCTGGTGCTCACCGCGTTCTACTCGCCTTTGACGGTTCTGACTTTGGCCCCTGTCTATGGTACTCACGGTACACACGTCTTCCATGCCTATGGAGTTGCCATTGTGGCCGCTGTGGGATGGTTCATGAAGGATCACATCCAGCGACTCTCCGGCCGGAAGGCGGTCTACTTCATCCCAGTCGTGGCCTTCTGGATTCCCACCATTCAGACCTTCCTATTCTCGTCGAGCTCTGTTCTGGGAAATCCTGTCGGCCCCATCTTCACCGAGATAGCTGCCTACTATCCATTGGTCATCCTCTCTGTCGCCTGTGCAGGCAAGCTGGTGCAGGCAGGTCTGGATCTAGGTCGCCACGGTGAAGCCGTTGCCGAGCACGTTCCGCTCCTCTCCACCTATGTCATCTACAAGGTTGGAGAGAAGATCGCCAAGGCATTTCTGGGTAAGTTCATCGGATCGACCATCTTCTTCAGCCGCGCCGGCTTGCAATTCTTGCTGCCTGCCTTGTACTCTGCTGTCATCCCCTCCAAATTCCTGCTCTTCGCGGTCCCCTCCTTACTCCTCTCGGCCACCTCCAACGTGCATCTCAGCGACGGAGCCCTGAACTCGTACCTGAACGACGAGGGCTTCGCGCTGGTTGCCCGTCAGGATTCCAACACCGGCTACATCTCGGTGCTCGATAACCTGAACGATGGCTTCCGAGTCATGCGATGCGACCACAGCCTGCTGGGAGGTCAGTGGACCAGAATGCCGCGCGGCTACAGCCCTGCCACCTTGGATCCGATCTACGCTGTCTTCACCATGCTGGAATCCGTCCGCCTCGTGGAGACTGACCACGGCGAGCCCCGAGTGGACGCCGACAGCAAGGCACTCGTCATGTAAGCACCAGAACCCTGCAAGCTCCACACCCACAAGGCTAATCCGTGCATACACAGCGGTCTCGGTGTCGGAACCACGCCTTCCGCGCTGATCGAGCACGGCATCGAGACCACCATCGTGGAAATCGACCCCGTCGTGCACCAGTTCGCATTGGAGTACTTCCACCTGCCCTCGAACCACATCGCCGTCATCGAGGACGCCACCACCTTCGTGGAGCGCTCTCCCCCGGCGCAGTATGATTATATCGTCCACGACGTCTTCACCGGCGGCGCCGAGCCCCTCGAGCTCTTCACCATCGAATTCATCGAGAAACTCGCCTCCCTCCTCAAGGATGACGGCGTCATTGCCCTTGTACAAACCTCCTTCCCCAAAAAAAGCCGCCGCGCAAAGCTAACACCAACAGAACTACGCCGGCGACATCACCCTCTACCCCGCGGCCCTGACCATCCGCACCATCCGCGCCGTCTTCCCGACCTGCCGCATCTTCCGCGAGGCGGCCGAGAACGACGACCTCAACAACGACTTCACCAACATGGTCATCTTCTGCAAGAAGAGCGCCGCCACCCCGCTGCGCTTCCGCCAGCCCACCGCCAACGACTACCTGGGCAGCAAGTTCCGCGAGACCCACCTGCTCCCCCGCCACGAGGTCGACCCCGCCCGCTTCGAGGTCATCCCGCCCAACGGCCGCCGCCTGCTGACGGCCCGCGAGTCCCACCTCCTGCACAAGTACCAGGATCGCTCCGCCCTCGAGCACTGGCAGATCATGCGCACCGTGCTGCCGGATCTGGTGTGGGAGTATTGGTGATTTAGTCTTCCTGCAAGGTCCAGGGAGGTTTCCCTAAAGCTTTGGCCTTTTTGGAATAGGGATACACTCCCCCCACCCCTTCACCTTTTCTTGGACAATGTATTTATATTTAGAGGTGTTTTGTGTGCTCACAGATACAAAATTTGGGCGTAGCTGTGAAATAGTATCTGGCATCTTGTGCTAATGATTCTCTGTAATTGTACACATAGTTTTGCTGATGGTATTCAATATCTAACATTCACAACTTCCTTCCGAATCAGACAGAACCAAGACGAGGACTGGATTGACCCTCTCCATCTACAACCACAAACACTAAAGCATTCAGCACAACAATCTTCAATTGGTATCCGTATCCACAACAGAGAAAACTGAAACTGAGACTCCAGAACTGCGCTAATGAATTTGTATCATTCAAATGTGACAATGGGGATCCCCGCCCCCCTCCCCGAACAAACAAAACCAGGTCGACTACGTAGAGTCAAGTCCCATCGCCCCCAGGATCTCTCCTCCCTGATTTTCCCCATTCTTCAAGTTTCCGTTCCACGACGAAACTCCCAGAGAGATTACCTAGTACTAACTCTATGACTCCCCAATAAAGTCCAGTATCCCATCCCCAAAGCCAATCTGGTATCACGAAACAAAGCAGAGATCTCCCGGGATGCGATGCAAGAAGTTGCAAGTCCAGTGGGCCTCGCATAGCCCTCAGCAGGAAGCAAAAGGCCATCATCATACCCGGAAGACTAATCTCAATATGTACTGGGTGGGTAGGTGTAGGTAGAGGAAGGGGCGAGAAAGAAATATTATTACAGGTTTGAAAATTTCGTCATTGGGACAAAAAAGGTTCGTGCTGGTGCTGGTGCTGCTGCCACGCTCCTCTAGAATGGCTTCAGGCCGATGGACTTCCGCGGGGACTGCCGGTGGTGCCGGGTTTTTTGACGAGGCCAGCGAAGAAGTTGGCCAGCGCTTGGTTGTGCGCTTTCTCGTCGCCGGTGGCCGAGGGGGTTTCTTTCTTCTGGGATCGGCTGGCCTCTCGTTCCTATAGATTGCGTAAGGACAAGCGGTCAAAGGGGCTTTGGTTTCTTTTTTTGTAATTGGTTCTCACTAACCTTGAGCTTGCGGAGCATGTCATCCGCGTCGACTTGGATACCACCCATGTTGAACTGTACAGGACCAATATGCTCGTTGACCCGGCCGTTGTCATCCAGCGGGGACATCTCCAGCTGCGGTACCTGCTTCGTTGTGCGGTCCTTCTCATCTTCCAACTTGAGCTGCTCCAGAACCTCGAGTTGTTTTGTGAGGAAGGTTTGCATATCGGATGTGTCGACCTCAATCTTGGTCCCGTTCGCTTGGCCTCCGGGGTGAGCCATCGACGTGTCGCGCTTGGGGTCCTTGATCGTCTGTTCGAAGATAGCGACCGCGCTTGTGCCGTCGTCGGCCGCCTCATCATCCAGGTCGCCGGCACTGGCGCCGTTGGTGATCGGCTCCGGGGGGTCTTGGATCTCGATGGACCAGGCGGTTGAGACGCCATCCATGTCGAATCCTTCGCGGATGATCCGGATCTTGCCCCACGAATCCCAGTTCGACGGAACGAGGATCTTATCCCGGTCGATGACGTTGTGTTTGAATGATTGCCGTTTCAGTAATGAGTGGATGCCGAGGGATGAGTGTAATAAGCTTTGGAGGGAGTTGGCGAGGAATGGTGTGGTGTAGATAAGCGACGCGCCATCTGTGATTAATTAGAACTCGCAGGCCGAATTAAGGGATGGTATATTGCATACGCTTCAAGAGCAATGTTCTCATGAATTGGAGAATGAAGTCGAACTCTTCTTCGTGCCAGCCGTGGTCTTTCTCCAGCTTCTCGATCTTGTCGGCCTGGTTGATTCAATCAAAAGCATCGTTAGTTGTCGACCTCCCCCTAAAGCATCAGACCAGCTTACCCCTTGACACACAACACACATGGGTATACCGAGCCCTTCATCCCATTCGCCAGGGCCGACAGGTATCGTTACGGGACCACCGGAGCTCGTCAGACCCTGCGAGCCGGCCGAGCTGGCGTCCATGCCCCGTTTCCGATCCCTCCACTCGGTCATGTTCTCCTCCATGACGATCTTCGTCTCATCGTCGAGCGATATGAGGACATGTCTCAGAAGGCGCACCCACTCGCGCAGTCGACGTACCCAGGTCCAAGGGTCCGACCAGTCCAGCAGGATCACAACCAAGGTTTCCGGCACCGATTGTGCAGTTAGAAGTGGCTTGAGGAGGGGCGCAAAGGAGAGAGAGGGCTCAGAAAGTAAGTATGCGGACACACGCGCCAGAATATCTTTTGTATGGAGCAGGTCCTCATTAGCATATGACTATGGCAAAAGAAGGAAAGGGCCCGCGGAGAACTGGCAATCCACCGGGAATAACTCAAATAAATACCTTCGTGATCAGCGTCCAGCACATCTTGGTAAGTATATCCTAAGGCGAACTGGTTGGCCACCGGTGGTACTCGCCCTTTTCGCCGGTCGTTTGACGACAGGCTGGGATCTGAAGCGTCGGCAGATAGAGTGTCGAGGAACTCTCGTTGAGTCTCCGGTGTGCCACCTAGATTGTAGTTTCCGCATTATCAGCATTGACCGACAGATGGATTCGGGCGGAAACATGGCCAGCGGTGCGGGCGCAGTACTGGAGGGGAGTTTTGAGAGGGGGTTGCAAACCTAGGATTAACAGATTCTTCTCGGGAAGTCGCTTTCCATTTGCGACGCTATCTAGCATAGAAGACCAGATATTTTTCTTGGTGCCATCTTTGCTCGACGGCCGACTGTTGTTGCTGCCGGTCCCGAATCGGGACCCTGTATTCTGGCTCGACGCTAACATTGTCTATCCAATTTCGACCATGCTCAGCTGGCGCAGCTCATTCCAGGTCAGATCGAGGCAAGTATCTTTTGGGGGAGGAGTCGGATAAGACGCGTTGATTGCGGAACTTCGTGCGGATAGGTGGGAGTGTTTATCGGAAACCACACTGGTGTCAGGGGAATCTGGCGTTGGCCGCGCAGATCTCGGATGGCGGGGGAGGACCACAAAATAGCCCAGACGTTGTGCTCGCTCGCTCGCTCGCTCAAAAAAGACAGGATCGGACCGAAAGTTTAAAAGAGTGCAGTGTTTTTTGCCACGGGTCGCAAAAAAAAAACCAGGTGTCTTCGTGGTTTGTCGTGTGTGTTGGTGTATGGGACTGAATCGAGCGGTGGAGGAACTGACTGCGGTTTGCCTATTCTTTTCTAGCTTGTAAACAACTTATTAAAGAAAGCCAAAGGTTTGGGACCGTCTTCTGCGGGTGGGGACCTTGCCTTCCCGCGGTCAAGCCCGTGATTTCGAACTTCCGCTTTGCTGCAACTCCAAGAAAGCAAGAAAGCAAGAAAGCAAGACCAGCAGCCCTTCTCTATCCTCACTCGGCACCTCACCCTCTGCTTTCGCAATTAATCCTTATACATGTATACTCTGATCTAGATCTCACCGCTTTTCTTACCTGCACTTGAAGCATGAATAATATCCGCCAAGTCCAAGCGCTGAACAAGCGCGAGCTTGAAAATGCCGTGTAAGTTGCCCCTTCTACCTATCCCCCCGGGGTTCCTTCCTCGTCATGGTCGCTGACCAGGTGGTCTCAGACCCCCAGAAGCCTCCTGGCACGCTGACTATCGCGACACCGCCTATATCTACATCGGAGGACTACCTTTCGACCTGTCCGAGGGCGACATCCTCACGATCTTCTCGCAGTACGGCGAGCCGGTTCACATCAACCTCATCCGCGACAAGGACACCGGGAAGAGCCGGGGGTTTGCATTCCTCAAGTACGAGGATCAACGCAGCACGGATCTCGCGGTCGATAACCTGGGAGGTGCCACCGTGTTGGGGCGGGTTCTGCGCGTGGACCACACGCGCTACAAGCGACGGGATGACGAGGAGGAGACGGACAACGTCGCGAGATTCATGGGGGAAGATACGGCCGGCGGGAAGGCCGTCGACGATCGAGATACCGATGACGAGCGGACGACACGACGGAAGCGACGCACCAGCGAACCACGAGACGAGGAGGCCCGCAGACGCCCGAAGCTCAAGGAGGAACTCGAGTTGGAGGAGCTGATCAGGACACATGACGAGGAGGATCCGATGAAGGAGTTCCTCATCGAGGAGAAGAAGGAAGAGGTGGCGCGTGCGCTGGAGAGGACACGAGCGAGTGAGAAGAAGTCCTCGCGCAGGCGAGACAGCCGCGAGAGATCGAGCCGTCACCACCGTTCTCACCGTCGCCGGTATGATGACGACCGTTCCCGCTCGCGAGAAAGGAGGCCTCGGGATCGCCGATCGCCCGCGAGGGAATTTCGATCGCATAGAGACCGCCGCTCGACGTCCAGGAGACGAGACAGATCCTACAGAGACAGGACGCCGGTCGCGTCCAGATCACCCGAGCCGAGGCGCAACAGGGACCGAGAAGACCGCTATCGTTAGATGTCTAAAGCAAGGCTGTCTAATTATAAATTATGCTACTCAAAAAGGTCAAGCCTCTATCCAAAGCAATCAAGACGCCACCAAGCAAGTGCCAGGAGCAAGTTCCAGGAGCACTGCGCTCGCCCCTCGATAGCCAACTTCTGTGACTCGGCATGAGCTCCATCAGCAAAATCAGTTGATCCGCCATACGATATCCAATCCGCAAACGCATTGTTGTATCGATCCTTGAGGATTTTCTGCAGTGTGGGTGTTGCCTGCAACGGAGATGGTGACTGTATCGCCACACCACAAAAAGACTAGACCACGAATGTCGTTGATGATGGAGCTCTCAGCAAACCGGACGGACACATTCCCCTTAGCCCCCTCCTAGGTACCTCTTCCAGCCCGTTCTGTTACAATAGAGTCTGCCGTCATCGCCTTCGTGAAGGACAAATTTCTCCCATCGCCCATCCCTACCCGAGCCAATCACGAGGATGGTCCTATCATTGAGCCAGCCGATGTTCCCTTTGGACGGTTTCCCAAGTGAATTCCCCAGGGGTGGAGGGTTATAGGCTGACTCGGATGACTGTTCGTTGCCTATCTCAAATTGTGCAGTGGCAGATGAATATATGTCAGAGAAGAATCCAGGGAGCATGGGAACCTTTGACAAGAGACCCCACTTTGATTCAGTTTTGGGCACTGGAAAGACATGCAGGGTCGATTTATCGGACGTCACGGCGAACAGCGTATTGGAAGGTGATATAGCAATCGAAAATACATCTGCTTCATCAAGACCCCGGCGTACCTCGGTTATCCTCGTGCAGTTACTAGTAGAATAAATCCGGACCATAGTGCCCTAAGAAAGACGTAAGTTACCATCAAATCATAGCCTGCTGTACATGGGCAAAGGCTCGGGTGCTCTTACCCTCTTGCTCGCCGTGGCCAGAAGCGCGCCATCCGAGCTCAGAGTCATGGCCCGCAGCGGGTGCGCGTGTGCTGGGATGATGCTCACGTTCCCGGTCTCAAGCTCGACCAGCTGGACTTGCCCGAGAGATCGGCCGGGAAAAGCAAGTAGCTTCTCCCCCAGGCAAACCAGACCCAGAGGGTTGTCCACTGTTTCAAAGACCGAGAGCTTCCGCGGAGGGATCGAGAAGGCAAAGATATGGACACTGTTCAGCAGCGCGACGACTATGTGCGACTTGGACAGGCGGACGCCCAAGACCGAGGTGCGGAATTCGAGGGTGATGGCGGCTTTCTGCTTCGCGTCGTCCCAGATCACCAGCTAGACACGAAACCATCGTCGTCAGTACATAGATTCGCTGCATCACAAACCAAGCACGTCGAGGAAGGAGAGAGGAAGGAGGAAGATTCCGTGGCGCACCTTGTTCTGAGGGAACTTCGGCTGTCTTCCTCCGCCGGTGATCGCGAGGTATTTCGACTGGCCGAGCATGGTCACCAGACCAATTCCGGCGTTGAAATCTGTAGGGATGTTCAGATCAGTGTTTAGCAACCCGGACTCGAGATTCAGATAGAGAATATAAAAGAGAAAAGAAGTTTGGACAAGTACCTCTTGAAACTGTAAGCTCACATGGATCGGTTTTGAAGACTGTTTTGTTCGGTGGTTAGCTTGGCTGCTGTTCCCGATAAGAAAGCCCTCGAGGGAAGAGCAAGCACATGTGAGTGACCACTGACCACAAAAGCCGGTGTCCAGGCCTACGGCGAAACATGTGTTGTCGTTGTTGAATGAGGCCGACAGTGAGTACGGCCCCACCGACTCATCGATGACTTGGCGAGTGTTCATCCTGGCAACCGAGGAAGGAGGCCATCAGCGCTGGGCAGGATGATGGGGATAGAGTCAACCAGGTATAATTGCTGGAATTCCGGGGAAGGCCAGAAGCAGATGATCGGCCGCCGGACGGGCGCTGACCTCATCGTAGCCGCCTAGCTAATGTCGTTGCCGCCTTGTAAATAAGGCCAGGAGGAAGGTGTCACAGTGTTGGACCATTGTTGCATGTAAATGCATGTTGATTAGTACCGTGGCGAGTGAACGGAGTAATTGATGTTTAGAAGATATGTTTTGCAGTTTGAAGGTGTGAAGAGATTATCTTGCATCAAAGAATGAACGACACAAACGATCGTTGGAGTCTTGGTGCCTGAGGCATCACATACGCCCTCAGGCATGGATGATGTAATAGGCGAATGGTAGCTAGTTGACTTACGTGGTAGAGATTATCTGTCTGAGCATGACTATTCGTTTCCCTGCATGAGAGAATGTCCTAGTACTTGACTATAGTCAACGACAATTCATCATGTGTTTGTGGAGGCTAGCATGCTTCTTTCAGTCCAGTCCCGAAGAGAATGTATTTCATTCAACCCAGGTGTTTGTTGCGCAAAGTTTGTTCATGTACAAATAAGAAAGTTCTATCATAAGTCATGGCCGAGTCCTCTAGTATCCTGATTCCGAGGCTTTGGAGCCATCGATCTCTTTTTGACCGGTAGCAATTTCCAGCTCGTTCTGCATTGCGTCACCCAATAGTCCAACGTCGGTAACAACAGATACCATATCAAATCCTTGCTCTATACGAGCCCGAGCGTCGACACCGCCGGTACCTATTCCTGTCAGCTATCTCGAAACTTATAAGACTCAGAGGCGAGGGGTGGAACGCACAGAAGATCGCCGCCCTCTTTCCGGCAGCCTTGGTAGCAGCCAAGATGCGTTTGATAGCAGCCTCATGCTCCTCGCCGCCTCTGGTGACGTTCAATTGCTTGGCAAGATCAAAAGGACCTGCGATGCACAAGTCAGCACCCGGAAATCTACACGGGCTCTGTCCTTAACATACCGATCAGAATGCCGTCCAGACCGTCAACGCGAGCGATCTCCTCCACATTCTCCACACCGGACTTGGACTCGATCTGCACCATAACTATGATTCCATCCTGCGAGACCGCTTCGTAGTCATCGCCAGGCAGTACGCTCGGGAATGAGTGAGTGGCGAACAGCGGTCCAAAGCCACGGGTTCCCAGGGGTGGGTACTTTGAGAACTTGACAATGTTGGCTGCGTCGGCCTAGAAACAAAGAAGTTTTAGTACGGCTGTTCGCCACAGACTCGGAACATCACGAGGGATCATGCATTGCACGTACTGCAGTGTGGCACATGGGCGTGAGGATGCCGTGAGCACCGGCGTCAAGGGCTCGTTTGATCATCCATTCCTCACCCCAGGGGACTCTGATGATGGGGACAGCGCCTTCCGAAGCAACAGCATTGGTGAGCTAAATCAGCCGTCGTTAGTGCGCTGGACCCAAGTCGATGATGAAGGTGCCATACGTCATAGTAATCTCTATCCGTGATCAATCCATGCTCTGCGTCAATGAGAACCCAGCTGAATCTGGACTTTTCTGTGAAGGGCCGATGAAGAATGGTTTTGGCGAGGGGAGCGCTGGGGAATCTAAGAACGATAAAAGAGCAGCGTTAGTCATTGAGCGCATTTCAGGAGTACGTGCGCTCTGGTCGTTGGGATACCATCACAGAGGGTAGGCTCGAGGAGATGAGGTGAGGGGCAATGAGGGGTAGCAACGTACGTGAGCCAGAAGCCGTGTGCCACTACGGACTGGTCGCGGAGATTCCGGGGGTCGGCAACTTTGGAGGCCATTACTGTTGCTGTATGTTGTGAAGCTTGAATGATTTAAGCTGTGGCATGAGATTATCCTGGTAATTCTTTTTAGGGGACTCGCTCGGGATGAGGTCAATGGAGACAATTTAAACAAATATACAGCTCGGTGCATGTCCGACCCGAAGAGGTGTTATCCGCGGTTTAATCCGGGGCCACCCCCACGTTTCCTGGATTAGTTTCCGTCTCCCCCGGCCTAAAGATGTCCGAAGACGGGGGACGTTCCTCATAGCCTATAAGTCAATTGGCAGTCAACATCTCAGAACTGGCGTCCGGTGAGCCATATGGTGGTCTACTCACGTAAGGAAATATGAGTAAATTATCTTGTGTATGACAATGCGCCAGATCACCTATATGCTTAAGAATAGTCGAGGATGACTTAATCACTCACCTAACTATGAGAAATCTTTGCCTTGACATCATTGATGGCAGAATAAAACCTCGTGTTGCAGGCAGTCTCTTCGACTGAGGGGCTGAAATACCGGACGAAACCAATTCTGCATATGGAATTATCTTCTTGCTCCACCTTCTGCAGCTTTCTGCTTTCTGCAAGTCTTAATCTGCCACACTAGCAGAGATTAATTGAGCCGTGGACGGTGGTGGTATGGAGAGCGATTCGGCCATCCAAGGCATTTAAATGACGCGGGCCGAGCCGGACACACACACTTCGCACCGACTCCCACTTTGATGCACACACACATGCACTCACCACAAACTCTCTCTTTCGTGATAGTTCCACTAGAAATCTATGATTTCTAAATGCTACTTTGGCATCATGACCTACCGTCCGAGCGTCTACCCAAGTGACCTCGCTTCTATGATAAATTGACTGGGAGTGAGGGATGGCCTTGCCGAGCTGGCTGCAGTTGCCGTGACCCGATAGCCTCGCCCATTAGATACATCAAACGTGGCGGTTCTCTTCAGCTAGCCGATGGTGCACACTGCGTTAGCTACGGTAGGACTGTACCACTACTCAGCGTCCAGTATGTCTCAATACTTCAGACACATTCCATAGCTTCGGAGCATCCGAGCGAACTCACGCACGTCTCTTCCGATCTGTGTCGATCGCCGCGCTCGGCAAAGAAAAATAAAGCAAAGGACGAATCAGAGATACCAACTGCAGCTACGCCGCGTAGATCCATCTTTCAGCTCGCTAACTAATACGATGGGGCGATTACATGTTCATGCAGGATCTGCTCCACAACCCTCCAAGATGTTATTTAAAAGGCACTCCGCGAGATCTGCCTCCGAGGGACATCTTGTCAAATTTCAATTCTCCAGAACAGCCTGCCTCGAGAACCATGGGGGATCCCGCGCCTGAGTCCATCAGCATCGATAAGATCCATCAAATTGGGACGGAACCCTTTTTGCAAGTCGAAGCCACCACTGCGAAGAGCCGCTCTGTTCGCATCGAAGGTCCGCCAAAGCGGTTGATTATCTGCTGTGATGGATCATGGCAGTCATCCAACCATGGGCAGATGAACGTCCCGTCTAATGTCGCAAGGCTCAGTCGTGCTATCGCTCGCTGCGGACTTGCTGATGATAAGGGAGATGCCATCCACCAGATTGTCTACTATAACGCAGGCGTAGGCACTGGCACGAGCAAGAAGGACGACCAGAACTGGTTGGCCAACACGATGGCTGGGATTCAGAAGACTTGGGAGGGCGCGTTCGGTCGCGGACTGGAGGAAAATGTCTGCGAAGGATACAACTTCTTGGTAAGTAGAAAAACTAGTATCGCAAGGGCCTAAGCTATCCTAACTTCATACTAGGTCAACAATTGGACCCCGGGAGATGAAATCTACATCTTCGGTTTTTCCCGGGGTGCGTACACAGCCCGAGCCTTGGCAGGCCTGGTTTGCAATATGGGAATTTGCATGCCGGACATGATGGATGACTGGTGGGCCATGTACGATGATTACAAGAAAAGGTTGAATAGGCAGGACAACTTCGCCCTCGTCTGCAGCAACAAGCTCTCTGGCACGTGGATAGACACGTGGAGTGGGGGCTCGAAAGGTGCTACCGCGGGATTGAAGTATGAGGATCGGTTTTACAAGAATGTCCCGATTGAGGTGGTTGGTGTTTTCGATACTGTCGGCGCTCTAGGCTTGCCCAACAATACCTGGTATGATTTTACAAACTATAACAGTACTGAGCACGGCTTTCATGACACAGACGTGCACCCACAGATTAAGCACGCCTTTCACGCTCTGGCGCTGGATGATCATCGAGCACCGTTCAGTCCCACACTTTGGCACCTTCCGACCCGCAACACCACGACCAAACTGATTCAGTGCTGGTTCCCGGGATGTCACATTCACATCGGAGGAGGTAGCGAGGAGACGGCGCAGCATATGGGAGATCTGGAATCGATGGCGAGCTTGTCACTGGCGTGGATGATTGACCGGGTTCGAGAGCACACGAACCTTCAATTCGAGTCTTACGAGTTAACGCGTCTCTATCAAACATACATCAACACCGTCCTTGACCTATCGCAGCGCTCTTTCAAGAGATGGGACAAGGCACACAGCTACAGCTATGCTAAGGGTGACGGCAAGAACTACGACGACGAAGCTGACCCTGACAATCGTACTGGCTATGGTGGCTGGGGTATGGGATTCCGACCCGACAGTATGACCTTCGGTATGAGCTTCGCGGGCACCATCAATCGCACCCCTGGCCAGTACAAACCGCTCAAGAAGAATGACAAGAACGAGTTGGTTGCTCTGAATCCGAATCTCTATTCCACTGAAGAATATATTCATCCCGTGGTTGCATATGCCTTGGGCAAACCGTACCGGGAGGCCAACCAAGGACCGGTGCTACGCTATCAGCCGGAAGCACTAAAGAATTTTACCCGCGTGAAAGACCCCAAAGACCCAACCACCGGTAAAATCCAAGAAGGGATCTTCTGGAGAGGAGTCTTCCCACCTAAAGAGAAAGGTTACCTGAAGACCAAATGGGACTCCATATGGGGCGGATCTCAGCCGCCTGCTGAACCGGAAGTCTTGCTCATCCCCGAGATGCCGCTGTGGGAAGATACAGATAGTAATCTGCTGAACGAAAGAGACTACATGCGGGCCGACTGGCTGGCGTTCTTGGCTCCAAGATTGTGGTTCCCCGAGCCGACTATAGATCACATCGACAAATACCTGAAGGGGCACAAGGAACCCAAGACTTTGGTAGAGAGTTTGACAGAGCGCGAGACGGATCTACTCTATCACCTAGCAGTCAAGGCCCAGTCGCAGCTCACTAGTGTCTGGCAGATGAGATCCGTAGCCTTTAAGCTGAGGCAGAAGATACCGTCGAAGGGAAATGAGGAGAATGTAAAGCTGATGCTCGACACGGGTGCTCGCACCAGGAAGTTCTTGGCCCTGCTGGATCGAGGCGAGTTATATCCTGAAGAGGAGGCATGAGAGGCTGAAAATGTTGAGTCCGTCGGTAGTTGGTATGCAGGCTGAAATACAATGTCTTCCCACCTGCAATTCTATGTTTTGCGGTTCAACATAGATCAGAAACTAGGTAGGCAGCTTTAGAGTCGGTCCTACCTCGAACACATTGGCTGTGTAGCGTGCCTTGTTGGTTCAATAAAGTGTGTAGAGAGTCAACGTCAACCAGCAAAAGGCTTTATGCCTCAGGCAGCGAAAGAGCCCAAGGCCCCCCCCAAAGGCCCAATTCCTAAGGCATACGGCGGCCCACAGCGACCCACGGCGGCGATCGGAACTTTTGGTGGCCATAAACCCCTGAACTAAACCCAGCAATCAGTTGATAGTCCGTCTGCAAAACAAAGACTGCCCACATTGGGCATCTGGATGCCACTTGAGGACTGACAAAACAGACCTGTCTCACGGTTCTGTCTGCTTGCAGTCAGGTACCCTGTCACAGTTGCTGAACCATTGATTTCCAGTGGGTGCGAAATAGGAGTTGCATAGCCTGACAATAATTGATTATTGAAGATCCTTGAAGCCCCCGGATCGGACAGGTCAATTATGTAAGTATCATCTCGAGTAACCACAGCAGACAGATGTGTAAATGAGAGAGTGCTAGTAGTTAGTAAAACTAGGAAACTAGCAAATCTGACCTCGAAGTGTACCTGGGGTGATCCATGGGTGAACATGGATGGGGGCAGTGGAAAGAGCCACTGCACTGCACTGCACTGCACTTGAGGCCCGGGTCGTACCAGAATCACCATGGACCACTCTCAGACAGTCTGGAGAAGAAGACCTGGTATAGTGACGATTGGTCTGCCAGCCACAGAATGGGGAAAAAGGGGAGTCCTGCGGGAGTGTAACTTTGGTGTGCGTATGGTCATGGAAGAGTATCGGTGCCTAAGGTGTCCGCTTATTGTGGCCTTACAACCCCCTTAAACCCACTAGTCAACGGCCAGTTTGACGGGGGGCGGCGGCAGTGGGAAGGGAGAGGAGACTAACTAAGAGTAAGTACAACGGGAAGACCATCTCCTCAGGGGAGAGCGAGAAGAGCAACAACCATCCCATCCCATCCCATCCCATTCCCATTCCATCCATCTCCACTGCATTCATTCTCCCTCTATCTTCCTTCCCTTCATCCTCCTCCTCCACTTCCCACGACCTTCCTTTACTTCAGCTTCCTCCTCTTTTCAACCTTTCACTCGCTTGCTTAAACTCTTCTAATTCTACTCTCCATCCTCATCTTCCTTTCTTTCTTTATTTC